TTTAAAGATTAGAAATAAAGCATTTTTAACAGTAAAAGCTAGGAAGACTGTTTCATTTACAATGACTCTTGTTAATATTTAGACACTCTTTACAACAGTATAACTTTTTTTAAACTGGTCCAAACTAGTTGAGTTTTTTTTTGGAGAAGTTAGAAGGATTAGTTTACTAGGTGATGTGTGAAAAAAATTTTGAAAAAATTGCAATTTGTTGGTATCGCGAAGAAAATAGCGAAGGTCACTTCTTGCACTTTTTTATTAGAGCCCGTAATGAAAATTTAAGAAATACATTTTTTTAGATTTATGTCAATGATATACATGCTGAAAGTTTCATGGAAATTGGTTAACATTGCCATGAGGTACAAACGGTTAAAGGTTGTGAAAATCTCAGTTTCTCAGGACTTTCGGCCTATGACTGTAATAAATCTAAAGATTCTTACATCTTTCGATGGTTGTCGCTTGTTTCTGCATCAACCGATTTCCATGCAGTTTTCAGCATGTATTTTAATTGACATAAATCTACAAAATGTATGTTTTAAAAATTCATTAGAAGCTCTGATAAAAAAGTTGTAAAAAGTGTACTTTACAATTTTCTTCGCGATTCCCACCAATTGCTATTTTTTCAAAATTTTGTTGACACGTCATCTAGTAAACTAATCCTTCTAACTTTTGGAAAAAACTCAAATCGTTTGGTGCGGATATTAATGCACATAACTGTATATATGTATAGGATCACCCTGTAAAATCGTAACTTTTACACGATCAATAAACAATGCTTATCTATAACAATGGTGACGTTAACAATTGATACAGCATTCTTAATATTTAAACGAACAAAAATTAATTTTACAATCATCGGCATGAAGAAAAGTATATGAAAAATGACATGAGTAATGAGAAGTTTCTTTTCATGAAACGGATTGTAATAGAGATCTAAGATGAACGATGATTAGAGAGAAAAAATAAGATTCGAACAATGAAGCATTCAGCTAATTCCATGAATTTCTTTCTATTTTCTTTCTCTTTTTCCTTTTTTTTTTTTTTTTACTTTACGTGATATATCGGCGTCATCGTGAATAATACTCATGGTACGCGATATCTGGGATCTGTTATTACCGTCTTTTTCGTTTTGGAACTTTTCAGATACTTCTAACGAGAGAAGATTCACTTTTTCTTGAGAGTGAAGAAACTACGCCGCTTGGTCTCGGCCTGCGTGGACGCGGGTAATGTGTGTGCCCTGGACGTGCCTGCACCTGATGCGCCGTGTGCAGCTTGGTTCAAGACGGTCATCCATTCGTTCATTTCAGCATCGTCTTTAGCCTAGAATAGGAAGTCGGATCCGCTTTGCGACCTAAAAATACGTCGAATTTCAACAAGTTCTCTTGTCACATCATTATATATAACAATTTAACTGTATATTGATAGAAATCTAAAATAACTAAATTTTTCAAAATATATTTTTTTTTCAAAATAGTCGGAAATTGAAAGGAAAAGAAAAATCTAAATATCTCGAAACGAAAAGTATATGACTTAGGCCGCTTTCATAATCACCAGCACAATTAGACGACATTCATTACTGGAGGAGAAGAATAGCAAAAAAAATTGGATCCACTGTTCTTTTAAAACAGTGTAGTCAATTTGGTATTTATGAGAGACCTCACTCTTTACCTTACCATTTCTAGTACACTTTACTACTTCAATGTCAAACTCTTATTTAACTCCTCATTCTTCCCCATTGGAGGCAGAGAGAGGACTCACCACTTTACTCGGAAGACATGTTTCTTTTTAGTACAATCATTCGCCACGGTAATTGTCGCCCCTCTAAGGTCCAGAGGAGATTCTCCCTTGTACGGTTGGTCAGGCGTTGCCTTGTACGATTTCTTGTCCGTATATACCAACAAGCTTTGTCCATGAACGACCACGTACACCTTGTTTCAGGACCGATTGGACGCCTTATTCGTTGTGCTTTCCCATTCGTGCTTTCGTTGCAACACGCCCTCGAATTCGTCATCGGTGGGACTTCGTTATTCTGCAATATTGAACACCAAGTTAAAGTAAGGACTGAGCAATGATTCAAAGTCAACGGAATTATGCTACATGAAGAATGAAGAATAAGAGGAGAAGAAGTATAGAATAATGCACGTTACATCCTTCAAAACGTATAAGACACAACTGCAAACATATTATAATTATACATTCACTGCAAGGAATCCTTTCGTATAGGAAGACCTGAACAGTTAATCAGAATAGACGTTACACGATGCTGTGGAATGCAGTTCTGCCACCCAAACGTATACAACACGCGTTCACTGTACACGCTACCAATTGCGCACGTGACTCTGATCACGTGTGTTTAGTAGGATGCATACGATATGTTAATATTGTCATACCCCAGATTCCAGACATTTCATTCAACGTTCATCGTACGCATACACGCATACACACAGGAAATTAAGGGAACGCTTCCTGTTATATATCCAACGTGGCTGAAAAGACAGAAAGACATTAACGGTTCAAGAACACCGGAAATGACTTCATACACCAGAGGCTCTTCCTTTATTACCTGTACAATAAAACATCGATTAATATATCAATATATGATTAATTAAAGTTAATTTTTACCATTACTATCATTATTATCTATTATTATCCGACCTCAATAGATTATCAACCTGGTGTCGTGCGAACAATCTCAGCCTCAATACGTCCAAATGCAACACCATTCGTTTTTCTCGTAAACTGAGGCTGTTTGTTTGCCCCTATACTATTGACGGTTCCTCGATATCCGATGTTTATCATATCCGTGACTTGGGTATTACTATGTTAATAACGTTTCTAGTTCCTGTCTTAATATTTTAGGCTTTATCTTCCGTACCTCCAAGCACTTCTCCAATCCCTCCACTCTTGTAAAACTATACTGTTCCTTGGTTCGACCCCGAATAGAATACGGCTCTATCATCTGGTCCCCATACCACAAGAATCAGATAGATTTAATGGAACGTATTCAACACAAATTCCTAAGGCTTGCCTCTCACTTCACCGATATACCTACGTATGTCTCCTTTCTGTCACAACTATGAACCTTATCTTTCTCGTTTCAGGTTATTAACCCTTCAGCAACGGCGTCTCACAGCTGATCTACTGTTTATTTACAAAGTTATCAATCAGCCGATTACCTGCCCCGACATTCTATCAGAATTACAATTCCACGTCCCCACCTTTCACCCAAGAATACATACTATATTCTACACAAAGACTCACCGGACTCTTTATGGGAAATTTAACTTCTTAAATCGTTTATGCACCTACGCGAACAAATTTTGCAATAATCTTAGTTTCTTCGGGATTTCTTATTTATCGTTTAAGCACTCTGTTTTAACCACTGTAAATAATCCTTAATTTACTCTTTGTCTTGCGTGTTATTCTGTTATTTTTCTGTTTTCTCATTTTATTCTATTTTATTTGATTTCATTTGTTTTTCTTTTTCTTTTGCTTTTCTTTCATTTTCTTCTTAATTTTCT